AAAGTAAAATTCGTATTTTATAAAACGACTAAAATATTTCACCCACCAGAATGTCAAGTAGAATATAATTTTAAACATTTGACAATCTGGCGTGTTGACCGTCGTTTTATAAAACACCTAGGCATTTTACAATCCGACTAACCAGACCGGAAAATAATGAATGTTAAACAAGAATTTGACAATCTGGCCGCCTATTGTAAAATGTCTAGACATTTTATAAAACGACTGGTTTTACAATTTAGCTACGACATTTACAATACTACCGATCGACAACCCTATATTATAATATATCCTTAAGGTCGCCATTTCAGTGTATTTTACGTGGTCAAAACATAGGTTTGCGATTTTTTACAGAACTTATTTTTCACTGGATGGATTTTAGTGAAACTTTGGCAGCTTATAGAAAAATGTTTAATGATTGAAATGAGACATTTTCATTTGTCCTGCTATTTATTAAATACTATTAAAAAATATAAAAAAGTGATAGTCACAGATGTAGTTCAAAAAACTTTATAGCATTCTACATATTTTTTTGAATATTCTTGCCAAATTTTAATAATCAATGTTGCGTACTTTTTAAGTTCTGTACAAAATACGATTTCATCTAAAATTGATAATTTCACTACGTCCATGTTGCTTTTTAGTTCAGGACCTAAATTATAGATGTCCGATGGAGCAAACGTAGCGAAAGCTTCGGCGCCGGCTTGCCATATTTTAAAATTGTCTTGAATTTAGACAAAACTATTATTATGGTTATTTACAATTTACACAAATATAAATTATATATACAGGGAGACTCATTTTTTAACGTTTTCTTATTAAGACGAATTTTTAATAAAATTTGATGCTTTGTCTAAAATTAAAATCTATATAAACCAATATTTAAAATAAATGTCTTTATACGAGGAAAAACAAAAGTTTGTAAAAAAATTGGTTAAAGATGTAATTTTTTTAATGTATGCTGAGTTTTTTTTGTAAATAAAGTGTGAATTCGGCAAAATGGGCATGAGTTGGTTATTCAATATGTTAACTATCATGAGAGAAATATTCATCAATGCCATAAAGTGATGCTACTTTGAAGGCCAGTAATGTAATAATATATTTATTAGGCTATCAGTGACAGCGATATCTTTTTGCTCCAGTTCATGGTTTCAAAAAAAAATCAGTTAAAATAACGCTCATGACTTTTTCATTTACTCTTCAAAAATGTTCTTTATTAGGAAGGATAAAATGAAAAATTTCTAAGTATCCAGTAAAAGCTTTATTTAATTCAATAAATATGTAAATAAATAACAAAATATTCTTTTCAAATGGCCTCTCTGGCTTTCAGTCGTTTGGAATGTTCCTGTACACAATCTCTGGCATTACATACTGATTATAAAAATTTAGTAATTTGGGTAAAACATTATTCTGCCAAAAATGTTGGTCTCTTAGAATGACTTCTATATGTAGGGGTTGTTCGTCGTTTATGTAAACTATAAAAAAACACATATCTTTTCAACAAATATTAAGCTGTCCTTGAATCTAAAAAAAAAACTTTATGAATTGAAAAAAAAAATGCTATTATTTTTATTTAACGCTAAAAACACATTTAAATAATTTATTTTCGTGCAAATATAAAAATATTAAAAGATGACAAAATATTCAGGCAAATGATTTCAAATTCTCACTTGGTAATAGTAGTTATGATTTCGTTTTAACGACAGCATATTATTTTATATTTCCAAGCACATTGTAGATTTTTCTTCTACTGCTTGCCTAAGTGTTTTTTTTGATTTGTGAACACTATGAAGGCATTTTATTTCAATAATGGCATTATCCCCTAAAAGAGCTATAAAAAATAATAAAATTAATATGATTAATAAAATGACATGACGTATATGTATATTATTTCTTATATCGAAAAAAAAAAACTTCCTGAAAATTTGAGCCCTTACTTTCAATTGATGATTATTTCCCATTTGAATAACATGTAATAATAATAATACTCTCCCTAATTCACCCCCTTACGAGTGAATTTTAACCCCAAAAGCTGAGCTTTTCCGGGGAAAGGGACGGCTATTATTATTATTTGCCGTGGCGCTCCGGGGCGACTTAAAGATGATTGATGGTGCCATTTGACATACAGATGAGGAAAACCCGGAAAACCTCACCCACCATCATCGAGACGATAATGTATGGCGATTTTTTTATAATCTGCATGTCATATCAACAGAAATTGAATTTCTATTAATACGGCACACATCAAATCCTATACCGAATCATGCAATTTAATTAAAAATTTACATGGTCTGGTCTGGGATTCGAAGCCACGCAGTCTCTGACACAATAAACTTGCTTATAAATGAATATAAGCGCGTTGGACCGCTACACCATCGACCCGATAAAACCTGTAAAATATGATTTTTTTAATATAAATTAATATAGCTCCCTTTGATTTCAAGGTATTCCATTGCGATTAGTCAGAATTTGTAGTATATTAGTGACTCTTTGAAAGTGCCCACTAACATTTTTTTGTACTTTAACCCGTTTCATCGGTGCCGGCCTCGAAAGCTCAATTTTCTCAAAAATTGTTATATTTTCGTTCTTATCAACAAAACAGTTGAAGTTATAAAAAAATTGTCAAAGAACAATTTGTAGGAAAATAAATTTTCTACAAAAATACCCCTTTATGGATCAAATTTTAAGGGAAGTTAAAAAACTTCCCTTAAAATTTGAGCCCGTAATTTGGATTTTAAGTGGTTCATTTCGATCGATGTATATTTCCCATTTAAATAACATATAGACCATGATTTTTAAAATTTAAATTAATATAGCTCCGTTTGATTTCATGGTAATCCATTGCGATTAGTCCGAATTTGTAGTATATTAGTGACTCTTTGAAAGTGCCCACTAACATATTTTTGTACTTGAACCCGTCTCATCGGTGTCGGCTTCGAAAGCCCAATTTTTTCAAAAATTGTTATATTTTCGTTCTTATCAACAAAACAGTTGGAATTATAAAAAAATCGATAAAAGGAACAAAATTTTCATGTGTCAGCGAAACAAAAAAAAAATGTTCGTTTTAAATGGAGCACCCTAAATACATATATATGCCGACAATCTTTTAGGATTGTAGGAGACGTTAAAATACACAATTTTTGTTCTAAAAATGTATGTCCGAAAACTCTTCGTTTCCAAGATAAAAGTTTTAAATAAAATTCAAATTTTAATGAATATCTCGAAACATTTTAATTAATTTCAATGAAATTTTTAAAGTTTGTTGTTACCTATTTTAATAAATTATCTTTTGGACCTTTTAGCGTGTATCCAGCGTTATTATATAATTTTATTAGATTTCTGCTGAAAAAGAATATCACCATGTATATTTTTAAATTTTTATAATGGTTTTGATAAAACGTTATAAAATACAACTCTTTGTCTTTTATTTTTTTTTTGTTGTATAGCGCCTTTCGTTTTGAGTTGTATTTTTAGTTTCTTCAGAGACGTGCATGCAAAAGTTTAGATATTATTTGTTTATCAGAAAGCGAAAAGAAATTCGCAAAAATAAAAAGAGACAATAAAGTTGTATTTTTAGTTGCTCTATTCAAAACAAGTATCAACATTGTAAATATATAATAGACACTATAACTTTTGGTTAAAATTCCCTGTATTTCGGACATGTGTTTATTCAACAAAAATATTTACCCCTACCGCCCTTCGGTTTAGTTTATTTTTGTTTAAACTTAAATTTTAAATTATTAAGATATGAAGCAATGCATAGGGATCGTACTTCCACATTTTTTTTTATCACCCTTTGCATCAACCTACCCTTATCTCAACATTTTCAATGGTACCCTGCATTTATTGTAAAGTATTATGAAAGAGCACACTTTTAAGTACATCCATATTAAAAAATTACAAAGAATACTTTTTAGAATATTTTAATTTAAAATTTTGGCAAAATATTTTATTTGATAGGAAAAATCAAGGGAGCTATGTATGAAAAGAATGTGAAATTTCTTGCCTCGATGCACTGCCTCACCCCCAAAAATTCAAGATTCCAATTTGAATTTTACCAAAAATAAAGCCATCCAAAATTTTCAGGTGAACTCGGTATAAAGTTAAAATGACCTAACACCTGATTTCGATGGATTTTTTTGGAGACTTCAATCCACAAACCATATTTTTTTATATAATGAATTTAAATTATAGTTTAATAATAGTAATAGGCACCCAAATTTAGTACCTACACAAAAAACTACACAGTAAATGTAAAATTAACGAAAAATAATAAAAATATACTGGAAATATAATAAACACTCAAATTAAACTTACGAACACAAATCAAAAATACATATAACTAAAATAAATAAAACAAATAGCCCATATATATACTTATTTATAATAGATTAGGGAAGGTCAGTGCTACTAACAAATTCTTATGATTATTATTTAATCGGATTATCCCAAGTACCTGCTGCGCCCCTTATTAGACAGCTAAATATTTAATTCACCGTAAACGAGAAAACCTCGCTAAACAATTGGTAGACTGCCTAATAATATATTTCTATAAATATGCGGTGTTGACAAATCTTTTTCACCAGACCAACTTATTTGAAAACATAAAACAGAAGTATGTTGCGTTTATTATTTAGCTGGCCGATTTTTGAGATATAATGGACAAAATATGGTGGTTAAAGAGTGTAGCTACATCTACGTAGGAAAGGATTAACTAAAATTCACATTTAAATCATTGAATCAAAAACCGGAAGTGCTGTGGCGTCCTTAAAGTGCGCCACCTTCTCTCTAATCTTCATATTTAGAACGAATCTCAACAGGGAACTGTATTATTGATTTCAAATTAAATTCGTAGTGCAACCGTCGTAAACTAGATGCCTGCATAAGCATCAGTTCACCATTCCTCGGTAACTCACTGCGCCAACTCGAATTTCAAAAAACCCAAACAGCGCCAAACAAAAACACATACCGGTTTCTCCATGCCTACCGCGCTCGGCCGTCAATTGTTCGCCGGCTTTCTCTCACAAAGCACTACGAAGCGCGCGCGATCGAACAAACGAAAAAACATCGCCATGTGACAACAAAAATGAAAACAGTGATTGAAAGTGTGTGAAAGTGCGACAGTGTTTGTGTGATGCCATTCGTGCAGCGTTTGGTCGAGCCCAAATTTTTGAGCAGGACTCAACTGTTTGACGACCATGGAAATCCGAAAATCGGGGATTTTGAGCTGGAGGCCGTTACCAATAACACCCTGTGTAACGCGCTCAGACAGCTCGCCTCGCTGGTGTTGGCGGCGAATGATATTTTCGAGGAGTTGGGGGGCCACTTGGAGGATATCAAGAAGAGATCGGAGGTGCTCAAGGTCAAGATTGGGGTTGTTGAAGGCAGAGTGGCGCAGTTCGATCCCAAAGAAGTTACAGTCCGTAAGTACCTCAATCGGTTTTTTGTTTAAATTCGGTTACCAATAATTCAAAATAATATACAGCAGTTACTAAATACATAGGTACCTACTAAGTATACTTATAGAATAATATACCCAGTTAAATGAAACTATATAGAATATTTAATCTAAATATATAGATACAAATTGGTTAAATAAAGTACATACCTAGGTAGGTAGGTACCTTGTTAAAAATGTACTAAATAAAGAATGCACACAAAACCAAACCATTTCGTGGAAATGTAGTAGGTACACACCTATACATTATACCTATTAATATCTAAATATCAACAAAGTAATTAATGAAGTAAAAGATATTTATGTTATTGTAAGGTAAAAATGATTTTAAATGAACAATTTAATATTACATTTAATATTAATTAAGAAATAAAAGTTTATGTTATGTTACCATTCGGTATATGACAGTCAAATTACTTATATAAATTAGAAAGATGGTTTAATATGAACGATTTTTGTCCAACGATTTTTTCTTAAAAGCTGCTACTAAGGGGTGCTAAAATTTTTTTTATATAGGGTTCATTATGTATGAAACAGCATCTACATTTCTTTTACCTGAAGTTTTATTTATACTCATACATTAGATTTGTATGAATAAAATTTAAAATATAATCACACCCTAATAAATTAATATTATTTTACTATACCTAATCACGTAGTTCCTATATTATTATAATAATATTTATAGGTATTAATAATAATATTTATTTCCAATTAAATTACACTTTTCCAGATACACATATAGATAAATTGAACGGAAATAAATATATGATCCATAGAAGCTTGTTTGGCTAGTGTATGGTTTCTTTAATATATACTTATAGGTATACCTATCTCTGTTTTTTTATATAGATGTCAACATATTTTATTGTCTATATTAATTGAGCAACCCGAGGAGCAACCTAAAATTTTCATTTTGATTTTGAATATTTTCAATATTTTATTTTAAATAAAAATATCAAATCAAAAATTGAAATTAATCACTATAAATTAAACATTATAAATGAAATATTTAAATAATTCAAATTAAACACATTTAAATTTAAGTAAATATTTCAAATTGAATACCTTAAATCAAATACTTGAAGTTAAATAATTCAAAATATTTATGGAATCTGGTTAACAAAACAAAAAAAATTAAAAAAAAAAACAATAATATTAATGAAATACTCACAAATTCGGACAAAAGAGTTAAAGATAAAAAAGATATTGCGGAGAAATTTAATAATTATTTTGCTTCGGTAGGAGAAAACCTAGCACGAACAATATCAAGACCAACAAATCCTCCTCCAACCCGGAAACAGAATTGTAACACTTTTTATTCGTTACCAGTGACTAACGAAGAGATTAGAGACATAATATTGTCATTTAAAATAAATAAAGCACCTGGAGTACTTGAAAGCCGAGTTATTTAAAAAACTGCATAACGAGCTAATCAGACCTATTACTGATCTCACAAAGTTGATATTTGCTAGTGGGGTCTGTCCCTCCATATTTAAAACAGCTATCGTCACTTCAATTCATAAAAAAGATCAAATGTCCAATTATAGATCCATATCCCTAATTACTACGTTAGCTAAAATAATGGAGAAAACTGTAAAGAAAAGATTAATTTACTTCATAGACAAACATAAAAATTATTGTCAGAGCGACAATATGGATTTCAGAAAAGATTATCAACAAATGAGGCAATTAAGACCTTGGTTTCCTCAATATATAACTCCATTGATAAAACCGAACCAACAGCAATAATGTTCCTTGACTTAGCTAAGGCATTTGATACTGTGAGTCATTCGCAGTTGTTAGACGTCCTAGATGATGCAGAGATACGGGGACTACCATACAAATTTTTCGAGGACTACTTAACTAACCGAAAACAACATGTTAGGATAAATGAAGAACTTGGTAGATAAAAAGTTGTATCGTTTGGAGTTCCTCAAGGTACCGTGCTGGGACCAATTCACTTCAATTTGTACATTAATGATATATTTTCTTTTAACTCTTCGAGAAAGGTAATTGGTTTTGCAGACGACAGTGCTGTAATATATAGTGACAAAACGTGGGAAAATTTAAAAAATAGAATAGAAACTGATATAAAAAAAATATTTGATATATTTAAACACAAAATGCTTACGGTTAACTACAACAAAACGTATATCGTTCCGTTTACCAGTTATAAACACAAATTACCACTTTATAATAATATTACTATTACGGACAACAATATGGTTACTAAAATTTCTTTAAAATCTGAAATTAAATATCTTGGTGTAAAAACAGATTCACATTTAAGATAGATTTATCGGACGTAGCTAAAACATTAAGGTTTTTATTATATAAGTTTTTGAAGCAGCTATATATTTTTAGTCTAATTATTTATTTATTTCAAAACCACACTTACCTACAAACACCTGGCCATCATTATCATACTAGAACTAAAACAAAAGATTATATACAAACAAATACTGCTAAAAAACCATAGGTACATGATATTTCGATTTTGTAGCACCCTGCTTGTTTTACTTCCTACCTGATACTTATGTATAAAATTTATATAAGAAAACTAAATTCAACTAATCTCCTAAAATCGATTTTTAAAACTTATATAAAAACATTAGGATCTAAAGAAATAGATAAAATAATTGAAAATAAGTAAAAAAAAAAACAAAATAAATCAAAATAAAATAAATGTAACAAATTAAAGAATCAGAGAAAATTATGTATACTAGTTTTAAGTCTCGTTTTAAGTCTAGCGTAGAAAAAATTGTATATTGTATTATATTATATTTTTAACTCCATACTCAACCTTTATGGATTACACTGATGAAAATTCTTAAATTGATTGTCATGTATTCAGTATTTGAATAGTATGTTCTGTTTAAAAAATAAAAATGATATAAACTGCAATCGTGAAATATATTATTACTTTTGTTTTTAATCATTAGTTATTTATTTAAAGATAAAATTATTTAAAATGAATAAGAAAAAAAATGTTAATATCAAAATAAAAATAAACGCAATAAACCAAAGTAGAGTAGAGAACATTATCTATATTTATAGGTCTAGTGTAGAGAACATTATGTAAAATATTTTTAAATCATCGGTGTACCCCATGCTCAACCTTTATGGTCTTAATGGATTACACACATGAAACATTTTAAATTAGTGTCATGTATTTGTGTAACCTACGAAATGAACTTGGTGATTCCACCAAAATTTTTAAACTTAAAAAAAAATTATTAAAGTATTAACTACAATTAAAAATGTTGTCTACTACGGTTACACAAGTTTCGGTTGTTCCGGTGTCAACCTTCGGGCCTTCGACGTCGCTCAGACGGCAGCTAGGGGGTGGATAGCTTACAAAAATTCCGGAAATAGTAGACAAATAAATAGGCGCCAACTGGGTCTATATAGTGGCCAAACTATGATCCTATTTCCCCAAAAACCCAGTAAATGAGGAAAGAAATAAAAGACAAACCTCAACTTATGTTCCTTTATAAAGAAAAAAATATTTACTAAATATACAGATTAATTACCTAATGGCTTAGGTAATCAAAAAAAGTTGGAGGAAATAAAAGGGAAATTTACATTGTATATGTATATGCATAACCCAAAATAAATTATTAAATCAAAATATGGCACGGTTCGTCGTTAGCTTGGTACCAGGCGTGACGCTTGCGCAAAATATTAATTTCCACCTTACATAAAAAATAAAATATAAAATAATAGTTAACTTAAATATTGTGCATAACCGCACCTATACAACATCATATATTATAAACTAAACAATACACTTATAATCCTTATAAGCTTATAACCCTCTCCAAATTGGAAGGTGATATCTGCTTAACTTTTAGTTAAGACCAAACTACCCAAAAGAAAATTATTAAACCATGAAATTTTATAATTAAGTATAATTCATAAAACTAAATAAAAATATCAAAAAAAATAAAAATACAAAGATACACAAAGGACTTCAGACACAGAGGTTATTTACTTAAACTCCCAGATTGGAAGAGGTTACTTAATCTCTGCCCCCACACGGGTCTTCTGAGATTGCTTAACTTAATCGTTAAGTCTGGACCATTTAATAATGAATAAATTGAAAAAAAGTAAAATTATGGCAGTAGCCCTTAATAACTGAAGAATTACAACTTAAACGTGGAAGCAGTCCAAGTGTTCTGCGACCCGAAGGATTACTACATCAGCATTAAGTGCTTAAATTAAGTAAACATTTAAAATATTAATCAATTAAACGATGTAACATTTGATAATACTTAAGTTATGAGTGAAAGAACCCTAGAACATTCTGTGCTCAAAAGTATAAATAATGTTGAGAATACCTTGACAACATTCGGTTGAAAGTGAATGTATAGTTTAACAATGCACGCATGAAACCTTCAATATAACGTATAAGAAAAACCTGATAGTAGGGTGTCTTCTTTCACAGCATTCCCATCTTCCTATCCAGAACGAGAATCATCATTGTAAATCTAGCTACAAGTAAGCTAGGCGGCTAACATACCAATGTTCTGTGTTCCCTCGATGAATCCGTTGAACTCCGGACGATATAACCCTCTGTGTACAACTGTTGAAATCCTGAGTCGCTACCCCCTGGGTGAAACTTTTGTCGAATCCTGGGTTAACAACCCCCTGGGTGAAACTGTTGACGAATCTTGGGCTAACAAGCCCCTGGGTGAAAATTGTCGACGAATCTTGGGCTAACAGGCCCCTGGGTGAAAATTGTCGATACACGTTGACTCAAGTATCCCGAACTATAGGATTACCCAAAAATGTACATAAACTAGAAAATATTCAGCATCTAGGATAAAGAAAAATTACATTGGCTCAACAGTGAGTCATAAACAGTATTATGAGCTCAAATAATTAAAATTCTGTTACACCATGTCATAACATAAAAGAAATTAACAGCCACATGGTGCGTAACATAACCAAATATATACA